TAAACTGAATGAAACAAAAAGATGATATGAGATTACATAATTTATTCATAGAAAAGTCAACTTTAGAATTTGGATCAGGTTAATTCAGATAAGGAAATAATGATTGGCAGGCAATGTGAATAAGCTGTAAGATATTTTGTGAAAAAACTGAATTGACTTTCTTGTTTTAAAAACTTTAAATCACTAGCCATATCACAAATTGTTTCTGAACGAGATGATCATCTAGAATTTAAATATATATCATAAAATCATGGAGAAATACATAGAAAAACATCTCTGTTTCCTTGAAATCAGAAAATGTTCTTGAAATGGAACAAGATGCATTCAAAATACAAAGTGAAGTGTTAAGAAATACTAATTAATAATGTTTACTGATTAAAAGACAGAGAAGGAAAAAAGACAAAGGCAACTAATGAAGCAGGAAAGAATTTTTTCTGCTATATTAAAAAACCTCCTTAAGTAATAATTACTCCCACAGTAATCATTCTAGTAAGAAAAAATGAGACATAACCATGGCTTGATTGGGAAAATAAAAGTCCTCCTAGAACACAGTAGATACATGTGATAGATACATGTAAATATGAACTCAACTTCCTTATTAATCAGATAAATGAAACCATTTAACCATGTACAGCAACAACAAGAATAAGTAAAAATACATTCTTGAGAGGGATGTACATATACTAAAATCTTGTAATTTACTAGAAAGTGTAAAACTTTTACAAATATTTTATAAAATTATTTGATGTATCACCTGAAGTTGAAGAGATACAAAGACTAATGGAGAGAACACATCACTATTTACACACGCAAGGCAAATTGAACATGGGTCATTAACACATTTTTAAAATTTTGTAACCCACATGACCAGTACAAAAACTTGAGTGCATCAACAGGAGAATGACCATCTGTCTGGTGTACTAACAGTGCAATACACCCCTAAAACTGTTTTAGTAAATGAATAGCAGAAACAAGAGAAAAACATAATTCAGTGCTATATAGGATCTGAAACAATATGCACAAAAACAGACAAATTTAAAATAACATACAGAAATAGAAAGTCACATAAAATCTGCCTAGTGGCTCATAGCTGAGTAAAGTACACAAGAGGAAGAAATTCTGTCTGTTCTCTGAGGTCAGCAAAGCAATCCCCACTTAGGAGTGGGACTGGGAAGGGGCATGAGGAGACACCAGTGAGCTGAAAATGACCAGGGTTTGTTAGACTTCATGTAAATAATATGTATATTTTTGTTTTGCTTTCATGGCTGTCTTAGTTGCTTTTTCCTTCCTGAATCAAGATGCTTGATTCTCAATGCTAAAGGAGGAAAGCTTTATTAACTAAACATCTGCAGTAGTTTGAGGTCATTGTCTCTTGGGTCCAAGGCAGATGGTGATGGCAGAGTCACTGCAGAGAATAAAGTGTTCATGGTGGGCGGGAGGCATAAGGGCAGCAACACGGGAAGAATGCAGCAGAAAGCAATGCAGTGACTCTCTTTCTGTCCCTTCTAGTCTACTCACGCTACACACACATAGGGCAGGTAACATTCACACACAGGATGCAGCTTCGCATTACCCACATACAGAACTATGCCAAATAGTGGACTAAGGTAGTAATAACACACCCTTGAGGCCAGCATCACAGACTTAATCCCAGTATCACACACTCTAGATCCAGTCAGATCTGAAAAAACCCATATTTATGACCACATGAGGACTTAGTGGACATTTATATCCAAGCCCTAACAATGATGATATCTAGTAAAGTTCTGTGCATGTGTCTTTAAATAGTTTGCTTGTTGTTTGTTGAGATGAGGTCCACCTACATTACTCAGACTGGCCTTGAAATTTACACACTACTGCGTCAACATCCTGAGTAAATGGTATTCTATCCACATGTCACAAACACTGCCTCACACTTTAAAAAGTATATTCAATCCAGGACAATTTTTTTGGCATTGTGGATCAAACCCAAGATGTGTATTCTGCTACCAAGTCATCTCCAGCTGAGTCACGAGCATTATCCCCTTGTTAGAATTCTTTACATGGAAAGAAGATAAATAGATTTATGTAATGGAATTCACAGGTTACAAGTGTTATATTTCTTCCTATGAAAATACTGTTAAAAACGAGCTGTGAGTTCTGTGTGAGGAACTATTAGACAGGGAATGTGCAACTCTCCAGAAAAACAAAATGAAGAATCATGTGAAAATTGCTATAAAAGATGTTAACCTATATAAAAAACATAAAGCAGGTATTATGAAGTACAATTAATATTTTGGTGACTCTAGTTTTAAAATATCTAACAATATTTTGAGAAAAATGACCAATTTTTCTTATTCAATACCCATATTTGAATATATTCAGTGAAATATCCAAAGATGAATCAAAACATTAACTGATACACTTTTGTGTAATGCAGCTTTTCTGATTGTGCATATAGTTTTGTGGAGTTAAGTGAATACAAAACTAATTATTGTACATGTACATACAATACACATCCTTCTGACAAAAATTAGAGGTGTTCTTCCCCTGACCCAGGCAGTGTACATCTGTACACAGGAGACACCACACTTGAGGGCCAAAAAGGATGAGGAACCTGCAGACTTCCTCCTGAGACACCAATGATTACCTGAATTAGCTGACTAAAGTGACTCAAAAGACATACAGGATGAATTTTAAAGTGGAAAAGGACTTCAAAGTGTGCAGGTAAAGAGGGATTTGGTGGCTTTGGACTAAGGGGAGGATTTGTGGCTCAGATTGCTCCCATGGATGCATAATCTGCTCTTGAATCAGTAAAAAATAAAATCCCTGTTGCAGGCCATGAGCACCACATAGAACACTGAAGAGTGACAACAGTCACCCTAACAGGGATTCCCCAGCCTTTCTATGGTGAACAGTTGATCAGGACCCATAGTCTTCATGAAGTTTTGGTTCTTTTCTTAGCCAGTCACATGCAGAGAAACAATGACAATGTGATGTTTTGCAGCTATGAAAAACTGCAGAGACTTTTCTCTTTTCTCTTTTCTTTTCCCCCTCTTTTCTTTTCTTTTCCTTTCTTTCTTTCTTTGTTTGTTTCTTCCTTTCTGTCTTTTCTTTCTTCCTTTCTTTTTGTAGCATGTATCAAACTCATGACATTGAGCTTTCCAAGAAGGCACTTATTCGGCTGAGCTAAATTCCAAGCCACCAATTTTCTCTAAAATAAAGTAGGACTGCAGCCATGTGACCCGCATTCCAAGCTCTTCGTGTATATACACATAAAGTAATGAAAATTTGGGTCTCAAAGAGATACACTTATTCTAATTTCATCAACAACATAATACACAGTAAGGAATACAAAAAAAGACATCTTTGGGTTCTATCTAGGAGAGATTAGAAGGAAAATGTGTTGGACATGTAGACCTGAGTAATAACCAGCCTTAAATGTCAAGCAAATGCTGTTACAGACAAAGGCATAATATAGTTCAAAATGAGTAGGTTGAGCAAAATAGAGCAGGAAATTTTTTTAAATATTGTTTGACTTCCTATATATGCAGATTACATAGTGATCAAACCTACAGGTGTGGAGAGAATACTGGTTTTTAGGAGATGAAAGGTCACAAAAACAGGAGTCACGGACTGAAGATGAGAAGGATACCCTATATACTTCCTGTAGGATATTGTGTGACATATGATCAGAACCATCACATTGTGTAAGGTAAAGTTTGACATGATGCTAGATCCTACATGACATTGCCACAAGAGGAAGAAAAAAAGGTGAAGCCAAGAAAAAAAAGATGAACACATTTCAAGAAAGTGCTACTGGAGTTGATTTGGAATTTTCAGCATAGCTTTTGCTGTTTTAGAAGCTCTTTGTTACCAACAATGTGAGGATTACACACTTAGATGAGATCTTCATATAGAAGGTGGAGGGAGCAGACATAGAAGCAGTAAGGATAGTCCATGTCTGAATGTGGCAATAATCTTTTATAACACACTTCAAAAAAATTTCAGGTTTTCATAGATTGGAACTGTGAAAACTAAATAGACACACACTGCAGGAGACATTTGTTATTAAAGTAGAAATTTATTGCATATCTCTTCTGTCTATAAGTCTAAATTGTGCTCCAGTTGCCAAATTACAGAGATTGCAAATAGTTTCCTATTTTAATGGCACTTAACTTCAAGATGGTGCCCTATGTACTTATTTCCAAGTATATTCAGTGATGCAAATCATGATGTATACAAATTTGAATGTTAATCATGTAACAGTCTAGTAGCTTAAAAGTTAACAACTCTGTTTCTGAGCCCTTGAATTTCTCTCATATCAACACTTGATATCAAAACATTAGATATTCCAAAATCTATCACTTTTTTATGTCTCCAAATTGTGGACCAAAAATTTACATAAAATCCACATTTTGTTATTAAACAACTGTCAATAAATATCCAAGCAAATGATGCATTTTTTAAAATTCATCTCACTAAAATAATGACATTATATTATAAAATCAAGCTGAAATACAAGATCTCACATTCAAGAATAAATGGTAGGATTATAAAATTGAAATGAGGTAAGAGCAAAAGAATTTAAGATTTAAAAGTTACTTAAATATATAAAATGATGTATATGTGTCTGTGTTCGTATCTATATAAACATGTACTACACTTGAAAAAGGAAATTAAAATTTATAGTTAATTGAGACTGGCAACAAAATTTATTCCATTCAGAAAACCATGGATGGATAAAAAGGAGAAACAGGGCAGAAAGAAAGGTATTGAATATTGAGGTCAAAAACTTTCAATTACACAATTAAATTATATTAATGGTAACTATTAAAAGGTTTTTCTATTAGAACATTGCTGTCATGTATGAAAACATCTCTAGCTTTCATATTTACTCTTACCTCTAAAGTAATCCTGTCTCATAATTGTGCTTTGGGTATTATGATGGATGAGTGCATGAAGTACTGAAGACATGGAAAGCAGACTGATTCCCATGTCAGATGATGTCATATATGTGCTCACTTCTTCCTCGTGGACTCACAAACAAACTGTTCACGAGTCATGAGAATGAATGGACTAACAGTAGGGAAACCAGCATTGGTTAAGGCAGAAGTTTTAACCAGCCACCAAGCAGCTTTGATATAAAGAGAAAACCAAACGTACATGAGGGAAGACAGGGCATAGAAAGATACAAAAGTACAGACCAGGATGAGGATGCTTTGAGAGGCTCTGGTCTCAGGGGAAGCTCTTGATGAGATGCTAGAATGATGAATATGCTGTGTTCGCTTCTTGTGCCTGTACAGAATGAAAATCATGGAGCTGCTGCTCCAGATCATAAGTTTCAAACACAAAATGTCATGGGATAAAGTCAGTGCCACAAAGGTAGTCGTTTTTTCTTTGCTAGATATCATAACAGAACAATACTGAAAATCTATGATGTTCATAATGTTTGTATTGTTCCTTTTGTCACTCACAATAATAGGAACTCTGATGTTTAGCAGCATGTGCAGGACCCAGAACATGATGACACTTCGCCCAATGTGCTTTGCAGCTTTCAATTTCAGCTCTGCCCACCCACAACTCCTCGGGCTAATGGTGATGGCTTGGAAGACACTCAGCATGCAGGTGGTGCTGACAGATACACCCTTTGCTGTTACCTGAAGATAGAAAACTAGTTTGCATCCAACGTTATTTAGGAAGTCTTGCTTCCCAAATGCTGCCATGATCTGTGGGATTCCTCTGGAGAGAAGGAACAGGGTGTTAGCCACAGTCAGATGCCTGACAATCACATCTATGGATCTTGACCTGTGTCCACTGCAGTAAAGGAAGACAGAATGACATAGAAGTGAGAGATTCCCCAGGCTTCCAATCACAACTGGGAAAAGGAAGAGGATTACTAATTTCAGATCCATGTATGTCAATCCACAGCTGTGCAGGATTCATAGCAAAATTCCAAATTACAGAATTCTGCAGAGAAACATACATTGTGCAGAGAAAATTTCATATAAATATATTCAAAATGTTTCACATTTATATTTCTTAAAATTTTATATCCCCTCTATATGTTGTGTATTGAAAATGTTTTTAAACCTTAAATGCTCCTATTAATTATATATCATTTTAAATACATGGATCTCTGATGCTGGCATTAGCAAATTCAGTGTATGTAGGACATAATGATTTAGACCTAGTAATACCTACCATTAAGGAATAACACGTTTTCAGGGGGTAGGTATGTGACTCATCTAAATGGCAAAAGGTATTTGGACCTATGACTCAGGCTTCAGTGACATTGTGCTTATTTCTATGCTGCATTTTCAAAGAGTCAGAATGCTGGTGATTTTAGATTCTCCATATAAAATTTATTATATTTGAGATATTTCTGTAGAAATATTTGACAGTGATAATCTCCATTTGGTGTGCAAGTTTTACTTATACCACAAAATCACTTTTAACAGAACATGCACTTTTCTTAAAATTAATGTTAGACTAAATAACCTCCTATAACCTATGTGGGTTCAAAAAACATCTTCAATGTTTTGATAGCAACAAGAGATTTTTGGTTCACTTAAAGTAGAAATCACATATTATTTTGATTTTATTCTTAAGTAATACTGTAGATGTCAAATTTCAGTCCTAGAAACTGAATTAACCATCACTAGATAGTTTGTTATTTTTTCTGAATTGAGAAAGACAAAACAGTAAAATGTCTTTAGAGAACAATGCTAAAGTACATTATGAGTGACAAATGGAAATTTGAGTCTTCAGACCACACACATCATAATGCCTCATGATTACATGGAGTCACAGAATGACACTGAAGTTTTTAAACCTGACAAATATGACAAAACATGTTTTACATATTTAATTTCTCTCCAGTTTAAATCACCAAAGAATTACGTTAACTTTTTCATGAAGATCACCTCAAAAGAAGAAAGGAAAAAATTGTTCAATACAGTCAACACTAACAATGTTTTCAGAGATTCAGAAGCCATCTCCAATTATTACCTCAACCAAATGAGAGAAAAAGCACTATGAAACCAAGAAAATTGTCATTTGAGCACATCACTTATACAGAGTCTCTCCAGCACACCCATTACGACAAACAAAACCTTTTACTGAAACAAGATGGCAAATGATACAAGTTTCTCTATGATTTCTACATAGCACTCTGAACAGCTGATGGATTTGAAGATTGAAATCTTATCAATCTGTGATACTAGGTAACATTTCTCTTGGAATATTTGCCACAACCATTTTTCCTGCTAGATATTTAAAAGCATGTGGGGAGAAGTTAGAAGCTGGGGAAGGGTCTCATAACTTCAGTCTCTGTCCAGATCTCAGCTTGTGCCTTGTGAATCATCCTCCTGCCCTGTGTGACTCTGTCACCCCAGATGCACTGCTTTTTCATACATGACCCCTCACAAAAACACAGACATTGGGTAGCTCTTTACCTCACAGCCTCTATGTCACAGACTAGCAAAAAAAAATAAAGAAAATACGCAAACAGCACATACCTGCTTTTGCAGCAGCCAGATGAGGTGAAACCTCCTGCTTGTGTACAAGAGAAGATGTCAGGATCCATAATATGGGTCCTGGTTATGTGATCACAACTCCTCCTGAAATGCAATTACCACTGCACCTGTACTTAGCATGACAGTGCATGTTCAGGCAGGAGAACTGAATGTAAGGAACAAGTAAAGAAACAACTAAGTTTTCCACATCCCAATTCTCAGACACAATTAGAAGTTTCTGTGGGAATCTCCACACAGAAAGAAGTTGAATGCTCTGGAGAGCCCTTCCCCAGAAGCCACAGTGCAGTGGTCTCATGGAGGAGAAGAGAAAACTTCAGTGTCTGAAAGATGAATAAACTTTAGTGATGCCTGTGTGCTTTCCCCAGCTCATATTGATACATAAATATATATAAATATGTGAGTACTTTCATAGCATATTGCTTTAAAATACATACAGATGGAATTATATAATTACAAAGAATTTCATCAGGAATTTCCTTCCCTCCTGACTCATCATTCTATCACATTCTCCTGAATAAATTAAAGCCAGGAGTACTTCACAGACTCAAGCCTTCTGAGTGTACAACTACAGGAAATAAAGTCAGTGTGGAAATATGATAAACACACATCCATGATTCTTGTCACATTTTTCACAATGTCTAGGATAAAAAACGAAATTGGGTGGCTGTTGCTGGATGAAAAGAAAAGGAAAACATGAAATGAATATACATAGCAGAATGAGTCCATTTTATTATTAAGAACAGCAATAGAGATAGAACCAAAGTTAAGAGGAATGTGGGGATGCCCAGCACTGAAATAAATATTGATGCTCCCATGTATGCTGCCCTTCCAAGGGTGTGATAAAGCTTTATGTAATTTCCTACTGTAGGCTGAGCTCTTATTTACCCATTCCTCCATAAATGAGCTCAATCCAAATTACTGAATGAATGTAAGAATTCTGAAACTTATTAAGCACATACATTCAGCTATGCATGCAGTATCTGTGTAAATTGCCACATGAAACACTAGGAGCATATCTTTCCCACTGTGATTCAGGCATGGTCTAAAACACAATCTTTAGTGAAATGCCATAAAATTTGTCTTTTAATTAGGTGCCCACAAAAGCATTTAAATCTCCTGACATCACTGTTAGTTTGTTTATTATCAGTATTGATTATTCTGCAGACCATGATAAGATCAGAAGAAAACAACATGACACAGATTTCAAAGTAAGAAAAGAGATATACACTTGCTACCAAAATGTATTTTGTTTTCTTCTAAATAGTTGTCTGTATCTTCACACACAATCAATTTATCCAAAAGTGAATAGCATAAAACTGATCAAAACAAAATAATGAAACCATTGTAGACCTCCAAATCCAGACAATAGAAAAATCAACAATGCCTACCATAAAGTCTCTTGTTCTCTTCAAAAGAGCTGGCCATACCTTCATGTATGTTGAGGTTAGAAAGAATGGCCAGGATAAAAAAAAAAAACACCAACAACAAATTCTGGAGAGGTCGTGGAGAAAAAGGAATGCTTCTACACTTTGGATGGGAGTGTCAACTAGTGCAACCACTGTGGAGGTCAGTCTGGATGTTCATCAAAATGCTGGGATTCATAGTTCCATTTGACCCAACTATTCCACTTCTGGGAATATTCCCAGAAGCATCGAAAACCTCATACCACAGTGATGTATGGGCAAACATGTTTATAGCAGCACAAGTTGTAAAAGCAGATCTTGGAAATAAACAGAATGCCCATCAGCTGAGGAATGGATAAAAAAAAGATGCTATACTTTTATATAATGGAGTACTAATCTCCTAAAAAATGAACACATTGAGATTTTTATAGGTAATTGGATGCTACTTGAGACCATACTCATAAGGGAAATAAATCAAACTCATATGTGTAAATACCATATTGTCTCCCAAGTGTAAGAAATGGTAATCATACATAAGACATAAGTACCTCTAAATACTGTCAAAGAGTAAGAATCCACTCAAAGGGGAAAATAATATTTCAGGGAAAACAAAGGGGAAAAGAAGGAATAGAAAAATATCTAAATTTGTGTAAACACATTTAAGATAGCTAAAATGATTTAATACAAATTCTAATCGTTCTTGGAACAAAATAGTTAACATTAATAAGATTGGATCAGTTTTGCATGTTTGTGTCTGGTGATATGAGGAGATCTTTTTTAGGTCACTGTGTAAAGTAACAATTCTTCCTCATTGTCATTCTTCGCCTTTACCCTAATGGACTCTGACACTTGCCAATCCCTACTGTTAACCTGGGATGGCTCATTCTTCGCTATTTTGGTCAGGCCCTTGCCCGTGATTTGCTCTCCTTTCACCTGTCTGATTCCCACCTCATACAGAATATGGATGATCTCCTGCTCTGTGACACCTCTTATGAATCCACTAGAAGGAATACTCTTCTACTCCTTCAACATTTTGCCATGAATCACTGCCATGGCTCTACATTCAAGGTTAAATTCTCCTCCCCATCTGTCACCTGTCTGGGTTTTATTCTATACAAACACATTCCAGATCTTGTGTATTTAATTTCTCAAATTTCCATCCTCTGCACAGCACAACAATTTCTCTCCTCTCTCAGTGTTGTTCTCTCCAACTCTGGGTTCCTGGCTTTGCCCTCTGTCTTAGCTACTTTTCTCTCATTGCTGACGCAAAATACTCAATGTCGAAAATGAAGGATGGAATGATTCACGTAGTTCTCAGTATTTGAAATTTCAGTCCGTAATCAGCTGGCTGCAAGGCAGGGTGGTAGGGCACAGGGGCAATACTTAAGAAGGCAGGAGACAGAAAATGCAGGAAGAGCACAAATTGGGTGGGAGACCAAACCTTTTTTCCTCCCTCATCCTGTAAGCATGTTACCATCTGTAGCACTCACATGTTCTGCATTTCATCCATCTTCTTTCACAAGATCAGGATGTTTAGGGGCTGGGGATTTAGCTCAGTGGCATAAGCGCCTGCCTTGCAAGCAGGCAGTCGTGAGTTCGATCCCTGGTACCGATAAAAACGAAAAAAAAAGACAAACAAAAAAAAAGATCAGGATGTTTACAAAATGAGGAGCCTGGCCCCTGCTGAGATGCTACATTTAAAGTTCTAAACATCCCAGATTGACACAATGTATCAAACATCACACGTTTCTTAGAAAACTCATATATTGATACAAAATGGGACTTGATACAAACTTTATATTGTAAGAAATTTCTTCACTCTTCTTTCCAACTTTTCGAAAATCTCTAAAAACGTTTCTATGTCTGATTTACTGCACTCTCTGCAGCATTTCTATGTACCACACAGCCAAGTCTATGCCCAGTTACTCTCCTACCTGCATGACTCGATCCCACTGTCTTAAGTTTGCCAGTCTT